TTTATTTATTTATCATTAAAAAAACTAATTTTAAATAATTTTATTATTTAAAACATTCTCTGCATACTTTTAGAACTCTGACTGAAACACACACATTCCTATTCCAAGTCTTCCGGACTACAAAGGAGCACGGGAGTTGTAGTTTGACACACACACATATCCCCGCAGGCCCGCCCCTCCTCGCCGATTCGCTCCCTCCGGCTCCGCAAACGGCGCGGCCCCGCCCCTTGCCCCGCCCCCCCTGGGCATCTCCCCCTCCGTCTCCCTCCCCCGCCCCCCTCCTAGCCAAGATGGCGGAGAGCCTGCCGGAGCATGAGCGGATCCTGCAGGAGGTCGAGAGCACCGAGACGGCCTGCGTGGGACCCACCTTGAGGTGAGCGCCCGGCTGGAGGAGGAGGAGCGGGAGCAGGTGCAAAAAAGCCGGGAAAAGCCGCCGCTCTCCCCGCTTGGTTTTTTGCAACGCCGGAGCAATGACAGCTCGCACCCCGGGAGGAGCCCGTCGCCTCTGCCGGGCGGAATTGAGGAGGCGAGGGGGTGGGTGGGTTGCAGCTCTCCTGCCTTTCCAACAGCGTGGGTTGTGTGCATGTGTGTGTGCGTGTGTGGGTCCTTCCATTGGCGTGCATAGGGGCGTGCATAAGTGCACCGTGCCTGCCCCACTGTCCCCCGTTTATTTGCACCCGTTTCCCGTGTTCTTATGCACGTCTATTCTTGTCCCTTGTGCATGAGTGACAAATTGCAATAAAGAGGATAAATGCACGTCCCAGCCCGTGGCTTGGTAGGACTCCTTTCCCCCCAGCTTCCCCCCCAGGTGAAGGAGAGGGCCAACCTCACCCTGGGTCCCCCCCTCGTTCCTAGTAGGAAAGGCGCCTTCTTGGCTCACCTGGCTGCTCACCTGGCTACTCACCTGGCCTCCGAAGAGTCTTCGGCCGAGCAGCCCCATCACCAGGCTAAGCAGCCACCCTAACTCTGGAATCAGGGTGGGAAAAGGGAAAAGATGAAAGACTGTTCTGACAACCTGTCAAAGGGACANCCTTCTCTTCTTCTCCACCAACATTGAAGCATGTGATCACCTTTTCTGTTCAGGGCTCAAGCCATGTGGTCCTGTCCACCATTAAAATCATCTTTCCAAGCAGCCTCCATGTCTCCAGTGTCTTTTTCCCCACTTGGAGCCGAACCCAGAAGGACATTTCTTTCATCACTGCCTTAGCCATGAAAGCAACTGGGTGTCTTTGAGTGAATCTCTCTCTCTCTCTCTGTCTCAGCCCAACCCATCTCCCAGGGTTGTTTGTTGTGAAGAAAATGGGAGGAGGGAAGTGTGTTTGGATATGCTCGTTGCCTTGAGTTATTTGCAAAAATAATAAAGGCAGGATACAAACAAATAAGTGTAACCATCATTTGAACAAAAGGTGGTTTTCTGTCCTTTTACCCTGGAAAAACATTTTCTGTAGATTGGAATTCTGCCGAGTAGGAAGACTCTGGGACGATAGCATTGCTGTAATTAAAAACAGCAACGAAGACGGGTGGGGATTTTTTTCATGCTTTCCAGACACCAGACCATGGCAGAGACTTCTGTAAATTAAAATGAGGACTGGGAGAGCTTAATCAAAACAAATTGAAAGTGGCTAACAGCCCCCTTGCATCCAGATTGGCTGGTTGATTAACCCTTTTATAATTTCACACTTAATTGACAATGCTATTCCACTAAGGAGCAACCATATTGCAACACACTATTTTTAAACACATCTCACAGA